TGCATTAAATCATTTCGTATTATATTTTATAAATAATATATTGTATATGAGTTATGCTTTTTTAGTTATATATATTTGGGTTTGTAAAATAAAAATAACTATTGTTTTTGTTTGTATTAATGTTTTTTAAACATAATAGAAATTCTAAGTTTGAAAAATGAAATTTTGAGCACAAATTAATGGACTAAATAAAAGAGTTTTTGAATTTTTGTGTATTAATTATCATTTACTCAATAAATCAGTAAAATTAAAGTTATTTTTAGTTAAAAGTCTAGTGAAACTAAAGTTAAACATACAAATAATATTTAATAATTAGTGATATACTTTTAAAAACACATACTTTATAACAATTAGGGGACAGGGAGGCTAACAGTTTTGGCTACCATTCCCATTGGCCATCCATGTGCTAAATACAAAATAGTTTTTTCGTATAATTGAATTAAAATAATAACTCCATTATTGAAATAATTTAGTTTTATGCGTCAAAACAAATTGAATATAAATTACACGGCAAATCATAGCTAATTGAATGTAATTTAATTAAAATCCAATTATTTTTAGTTACTTTTATCGGTAATCGATTGCAGGCACTGGTAGATAGCGGTCAGACATGAAACACACGGAAAGGGTTTAAAAAAGTTTTGAATAAAATTTATTTCGCAAACTAGTTATCAGTCGTTCGTGCCCTCAGTCCTCAATCAACTCATTGGCCACTAATTGTCTGTAATATCTTCGCTCGACTTTACCCACAGTTGTCCTCCGGATGTGGTCCACGAACACGACGCCAGCCCTGAGTTGTTTGCTATCACTTAACGAGTCTTAATTCCGAGGAATGGAAACACGGTTTCAGATAATTATAATCTAAGCTTGAAGTCAATGATTGCAAACCTGACACAAAACTTTTCAGTTCCTCCTCATCGACCACTTTGTTTGTCTTGAGCCTGACATAAGCCCGGGGCCACTGAGTCTGTGTCCTATGGGGGACGCCCACCACCACCGCCTCAGCCACCGACTCGTGTGTCAATAAGAACTGTTCCAACTCTGCGGGCGACACCTGTTTCGTACCAAATTTGATGAGTTCTTTGACCCGATCGGTGATATAGAAGCGATGCTGTCGGTCGTAGTGTCCGATGTCGCCCGTCCGGAGCCACCCATTGTCATCGATAGCCTCATTGGTGGCCAACACGTTGTTGAGATACCCGGAGAACAGTTTGGGTCCCTTCACGCAAATCTCTCCGTCTACATCGGGTCCCACACTCTTACCGCTGCAGTCGATCACTTTGAGAAGGGTGTTATCCGCGGGTCGACCCACACATCCCGGTATGTATTCAGCGGTTCCCAAATCCGGAGCTGTAAGGGCTCCGTATTCTGTCATTCCGTACACTATTCAACAAAATTCAGTCTCAATTCAATGGATCAAATGCGGTGACAATACCTTCTAATAAGGGAACTCTATATTTTTGTATTATCTGTTTGCCCACATTGGCCGGGAATGAGGCGCCGGAAGCTAACAGTGCTTTAAGACTAGACAAATCGTATGTATCGACAAACTGTCCGCAAATGAGTTTATGTCCGAACGCCGGAACGATTCCCAAGAAGTTTACGCGAAATGTTTCGATCGCTTTTAGCACCGACTGGTCATCGGTCTCGTCGGCGATCACTTGAGTGACACCGCTTATGGCGTACCCGAACAGCACCGTCAGGCCAGACATGCAACTGAATTGAGTCATTTGGTAGGAGACGGGCGCGGATTTGCCGGCGCCGTCGTCATTAGGTTTGATGAACGACGTGAGGGTCGCCACAAACGCTTTATGCGAGATCATCACCGACTTGGGAACACCCGACGTGCCGGAGCTCTGCATCAAAATAGCGATGTCTTTCTTGGGCTTAACGGCGAAGTAGGGAATGGCGTCCAGCGTGTGACCCGAGCCCTCGTCCAGTAGCCGCTCGTACGGCACGTATATATTGTGGTTATTGTCCAAAACGGACACAAACCTAACCATTTGCCTCTCGTTCGTGCGTTTTCTTATGATATTCTCGATGACCGCCGATTTGGCAGTGGATGTGAATACGAAAAGTGGTCCCAATGTGTCCATCAACTGATCCAATTCGTAGACATTAGCGATGGGTGTAATTGGGTATAGGGTTACGCCTAAAAACATTGCGGCAAACATTACGACCGCTAATTCAGTGCTATTCTCGGCGAACGTCAATATAGTATCCGATTTAGTGATCCCTCGCTTAATCAACGCCCAGGCTATGGACTGGCATTTCGTTGTCAACCCTTTGACCGTCAATTGTGAGCCATCGATGGCATTGACCTAAAGATTATCTCTTTTCATATGACTGACACTTTTCAGGCATTCCTTGCATTAATGTTTTATTAGGGGACTTACAATACATTTGGTTTGGGAGTCGAGTTGTGCCAACACTTTGGCCACAAAAGCGCCGACAGACGTGTCCGGTATCTCATAGTCACGTTTCGGCGATCTTATGACATAATCGTCGGACATATTTAGCTCGAAAATGGTGTGGTTTTTGGTATTCATAAACAGATTCCGTATAAAAAAATATACACAATAATTAAATGGAAACAAACTGTTTGGCGATAAAGTCACATAATTCACACCAAATGTTGTTTTTATCTCGCATTTAAAAATGTGTTAGAAATACAGTATTTATTGCATTTGAATGAATAGATTAAAACCAATGTCTTTGATAAGCACATTGAAGGCTCTTCGCAGACATGTGTCCAATCGTATCGACATTTGCGGTCAAAGTTTAATCAAAAGTCCGTAAACTCTACGCTAAAAATCCATTAAAAATCACAGAACTTTTGTCTTCACGACTCGCAGTCCACCAAAAACACTAAACAAGTCATCAATTATCCATAAAAATGATTAATTTATTTTAAATTCTCAACTAAAATATATCGCAAAATAAATTACAACAGAAAAACGTGCGACTAATTGATCGGCAAATTAATTAAATTTCAAAACAAAAACACTATTTAAATGATACGATCGATGGTAGGCATCGCGAAATAGCCGTCATATTTGACGTTACGGTTGTGGATCATTGTGTTGCGCGAGTCGTTGGACGTCTCTGCGTGGCCCGACATCTCGTCCAACATTTTGGTCGTATTGAGAAAGGCGTCCATACTTAGGGCCACTGCCACCTCCTTATCGATATCGCTGTTCCGGAGGCCGGTTACCAATGAGTGCGACGCCCGCGATATCACGGCTGTCATCATATAGACGTCCATCGAAATGGTGGCCAAACGATACAAATCCTGTTGTTTGTTGATTATGTTCTGCTGGGAAGCGGTGCACGAATCAATTGATTAGTTTGTGTGATAACTAGTGGGGAGGGGAATGGGATGGCGAGTGATAGAGAGAGAGTGGTTGACATACCTTTCCGTGTCTAATGAGCAGTCCGTTGGAAGAATAGTCCAGTTTCTTAAGGCAATACTCGAGCCATTCGGCGGCCGGCTTGAGGTTCGGGTGAACGAAACCGCAGAGGTCTAAGTCGAGGTCAATGTTGTCGCGCCGGGACTTAATGGCGCCGATGTAGTGCTTCAGCATATAGACCGGGTATAAGGGGCTGAGCCGTAGCCGACGGATGTTGTCGTGACGCCATTGGCCCTGATTCCGGACGCCCCGGAGCGCCAAATACATGCGATTATTGATCGCGCAGTCGAGGAACGAGTCGAAGACGTTGATGAGGTCGTGAGCAGTCGACGAGACCAGATATCGGGACCCGTAGATCGACCGCAAGTTCTTCACCACGTCGTACGCGTACTCCGTGGCCAAGGTCTTCACGGCAATCGACTCGAGCGAGAAGTCGGCGCCCGTTTGGAACGAGTCAAACATGGCTGCCGTCAGGTATGTCATCGACTCGATGGCGTATATCTTGCGCGTCGCCTCCGCCAACATTTTCTGCGTGATCTCGCACTCCGTGAGGCCCACCCTCTCGTTCACCACATAGTCGTACGTATTCCTCAGCAACTGCTTCAGTACGCCCAACACTATAGCGCCGGAAACTACTTGTCCGCAGGCCTTCACGTTCAGAGCTGTCGTGGCCTTCGCCTCGGATTTGATGAGTTCGTGAGTGTCGCGCGACAGCAGCAGGTCGTCGAAACGGATCCTCTGGTACTCAATGCCGTAGCTGTCGGTACCGTCGTCCTCGACGGTCACCATGTCTTTGGGCACCAGTAGTGTCACGATTCCGTACTGATCCTTCTGGCCGATGATGGCGGTGGTGGGCTCGCCCGGGAAGTCCTCCGACCGACAGAACACCATATAGTAGTCGTAATTGTCTTTGAAAATCCTCGACTTGGATCCGTTGACGAGCCACGCGTCGCAATCGTTGGTCAACTTCGCGCGACTCTCCCAATGAACGTACGGAAGGGCTCCCAAGTTGTCGTTGGGCTCGCAGTAGGCAAACCCGATCTTCGGCCGACTGGCCAACAGTTCCTGCCGTAAGGGCTCGTTCGAGGAGTTGTCGATCGCATAGTACGACAACGCGTTGTGTATAACCAACGGAATCAGTTGCTCGACAATAGACTTGTTGGCCGTCAGCGACGACAACTCCGCCGACAACTGGTTGACGGGCAACGAGACGAACCGGGCGTCGGCGTCCGGATTGAGACGCCGGCGCTCCTCAGCGCCGACGCCGCCAAACGCGAGCCGACTCTGTTGGGCGGCGCCCATCGCCTCAAACACGTACACCATCTCCGAGACCGTGAGCTCGTGGAGCGACCGGAGGGCCAGCGAGTCGAGTGTGCCGTCGTCTTTGGGCAGTCGGGCGAACAGCCGGCGCACCATCTCGTGCTGGTCCGACATGTCGAGGAACTCCTGTCGTGTCTTCAGGAGTATGGGAAACGTGAGGAAGTCTTTGTCGAATTCGCCCAAAAAGTTGCGTTCAATGAATGACTCGTATTTCACGATCTTCTCGACCCTATTCTTCGGCACAATGGCGGCGATCGGCTTCACATCCATGGGCTTCGGCATCGAGAACCGCGTTTCGCCGGAATAGCGGCGCTCTTC